TGGCAGGTTTGTGGTGTCAGGCGGTGGCCGTGCAGCGTTCCTGTCCCCGCAGATGGTGAATGTGTACCGGGAACACCAGCACTCCTGTTTCCTCTACCTGGGCAGCATCCTGGTGGATGAGTACGGCATGGAGGAGGGCTGCAGGCAGGGCCTGCTCGACATGCTGCAGGTGGGGTCCCCAGCACTGCCAGGGCCACCGCTGGCCGTGTCCCCAAGTGCCACACGCACACAGCTGCTAAATCCCTGCGGGGCGGGGACTCCGGCGCTGTCCTGGGCAGCTGTGCCCGGGCTGGACAGCCCTGGCCGCGAGGAACGTTCCCCGGTAGCCAGTCCGTGCAGAATCCCAAAGTGGCTGGGGTGAGAAGGGACCTTGAAGCCCATCCGTGGGCAGGGACACCTTCCAGTACCCCAGGCTGTCCCAGGCCCCCTCCAGCTTGTCCTTGGCTCCAGGGATGGGGCAGCCCTGGCCGTGTGGGGAAGGGCAGTTTGAGGAGCGATCCCAGGCAGGTGCTGATGGATCCCTGTTCTCCCCAGGCTCTCTGCATCCCCACCTTCCAGCTCCTCGAGCAGCCCAACGGCCTCCAGAACCACCCAGACACCGTGGACGACCTGTTCCGCCTGGCAGCCAGGTGCCCCCGCGCTCCTGCCACCTCCGGCCGCGGGTCCCGGGGAGGAGGCAGGAGCTGCCCCTGACGTCCGTCTGTCCCCCTGGGCAGGTTCATCCAGCGCAGCCCCGTCACCCTCCTGCGCAGCCAGGTGATGATCCCCATCCTGCAGTGGGCCATCGCTGCCACCACCCTGGACCACCGGGACGCCAACTGCAGCGTCATGAAATTCCTGCGGGATCTGATCCACACCGGCGTGGCCAACGACGTGAGTGACGCGTGGGGACGCTCCTCAGGAGGCTCTTCCTGCCTGGGGATGTCACCGTGGGATGGGTTGGGTGGGAAGGGACCTCAGAGCCCATCCCGTTCCACCCCTGCCATGGGCAGGGCCACCTTCCACCGTCCCAGGCTGCTCCAAAGCCCCTCAGCCCCATCGTCCTCATCAGCCCCGTCCTGTTGTCCCCACAAGCCCCCCTGGTTTCTCCACCGCTGCTGGGAGCTGCCTGCAGAGTGAGGAGCTTGTCCCTGTCCCCAGGAGCTGGCTGTCCC